GCCCCTGGGCTGCGAGCCCGGGCTCTGCGTCCGCTGGAGCGGGATGGCGGGCTTCGCGCGCAGCTGGTCCTTGCTCCGGGCTCCCATTAGGTCCAGGAGGATGCGGGAGGCGGTGCCTGCCACGTGATGTAAACAACCGCTCAAGTCTTCCGGCCTCGGCCTCCGGCCTCCGCATCGGGTAGCCCAGGGGGCTTGGCCTGTGTTGGGGTCCAACCCCAGCAGGTCCAGGGGCCCCCAAAGGTGTGGACGGAGTCGGCGAAGAAGGAAGGACACGGAGGCAGCGTTCAGTTGATCAGCATGGTTGGGTTTTCTCGCCTGGTTCTATCCAGGATCTCTAGCCAGGATCTGTCCAGGATCTCCAGCCAGGTTCTATCCAGGTTCTCTCCCTAGGTTCTCCAGCCAGGTTCTGTCCAGGTTCTCTTGCCATGTTCTCTCGCTAGGTTTTCCAGCTAGGTTAGGTCTCCAGGTTCTTTGTCCAGGATCTCCAGCCAGGTTCTATCCAGGTTCTCTCCCTAGGTTCTCCAGCCAGGTTCTGTCCAGGTTCTCTTGCCATGTTCTCTCGCTAGGTTTTCCAGCTAGGTTAGGTCTCCAGGTTCTTTAGCCAGGTTCTCCAGCCAGGTTCTATCCAGGTTCTCCTGCCATGTTCTGTCTAGGTTCTCCAGCCAAGTTCTGTAGCCAGGTTTGGGGGGGTTACAGATAAAGTTTAGCAAGCTCTCTAATCTGCAAATGCAGAATCTGCCAAGTGCGGTCACCGGCCGTTCACATAAAGCCATTCTGTGATTCAAGGCAATCTAACACATTTTCTGAAAAGTCATCCGGTGACGTCATTGGGAATAACAGGAAAATTGATATTTAGGTGCCATTTCTTGAGTTAAGCTGCTAAGCATTCCAGAGTGCCCAGGTTACAGGGCCACCGCCCTGAAGAACGATGGAATGCGCTTTGACCCAAGTGTTCCTCTGGGGCCTGAGGACATGCTGAGAGGGGGTTCCGGGGCTCCTCAGGGTGACCCCTGGACAGCCTGGCAGGATGCAGCTGCCCCCGAGTGGGAGTGAGAGACGGGGCAGTGCGCACAGGCCAAGAGGAAGCCAGTAGCCGAGCCGGCGTGACCGCTGGAGGTGGGGGCCCGATGGCCACCGTCCCCGGGGCCTTGGGCTGCACACTTCAACCCGTCCCCACCTTTGGTTTTAGGTAGACGACACACAGAGTCTGCTCAAGAATTTGGAGTCTAGTGCACAGACCCTGTCTGAAGCCGGCTCCCCGCCCAGGAGGAGGAAGAGAGAGGCGCGGGCCTCAAAGGATGCGGAGGCTCTGGACGTAAGTGGGGTGTGGGATGTGTCTGCCCAGGTGCATGCTGGGGTCCTCCGTCCCCCCTGCCAGCACAGGTGCCTCCAGACGAGCCTCTGACAGAGCTGAAGTCCCAGTGAGCTTCCTTTTGAGGCATCATTTACACACAGTAACAGGCAAGGTTTTCAGCTTAGTTTGATGAGTGACAGCTGTGTACTCCCTTGTCACCGATACCCCAGTCAGAGACGCTGCACCCCCTGGAAAGCTCCCCAGCGCCCTGCGCCCCTTTCCGGGCTACCCCCCACCCCAGCCCCTTCCCGAGGCGACCACTGCAGCATTTCCAGCGCTGTCGCTGGCCTCGCTGTTCCAGGCTTTTACATGTGCGTCTGGTGCCCGCGTTTCCTCGTGTCTCGCCTTCGAGATGCAGCCTCGTCCCTGCACCTGATAGTCATTCGTCCTGTGATCGCGGGGCCCGTCGTGGGGATGTGCCCGGCGTGGCGCTGGCCGTGGCCGCTATTCCGAATAAGGCCTCTGTGAATGTGTGTGTATAGGTTTGTTTGTTTTCATTTCGTTTTATTTCTTTTGAGTAAAAACTAAGTAAACATCTAGGAGGTGGAGTCCTGGGCCTTGGACGGAGATATTCAAAGATGGATTCTCCCTGGACCCCCTTCCTGGCTCCACACTCAGTCCAGCCCAAGCCTCCCGGGGAGGCTCGCTTTCTGGGTGGGATCCAGGATCCTGGAACCCAGGCCCAGCTCTGCCACCTGTTTGCTGTGTGAGGTGGGGCAAGAAACATACCCTCTCTGAGCCTCAGGTTTCTCAGCTTTATGACGACGGTGATCCGCCGGCTCCTGGGGTCCCGTGAGTCGCCTGGGATCATTCCAGCCGCGGAATAGGGGCAGAAGCAGCGTGTGCAGGGAGCCACGGCCTTCCCCCTCCCAGGAGGCACGCTCATGTTTTCTCCCTGCGGACTGTTTAGCTGTGCCCAGGCCACGCCCTTGTCAGGCTAATAATTGCCAGAGCTGAGTTAACGATCTGCCCGCTCCGGGGACTGGCTGCCTGGGTGCCCCTGCCCTCTGCAGACAGCGCCTCAGAGACTGGGCAGGGGACTGACTCTGACAGGGCCCGTCCAGCTCTGACCCCCGTGTCCTCTAAGGCACGGAGAACCGAGGCACGGTGCCTCCTGTCACTCCTGGTCCGAGCTCTGGAAAAATAGCTCACATAAGCCCAAAGCAAACACAATCCCCCGGGCTCCGGGTGTGCGGCTCCCAGCCCCGGCTCGCTGCTCTGCATCCTGGCCTGGCAGTGGGCGAGAGGGCCTCTCCGTCCCTTCAGTCCTGCTCTCAGTCATTTCTGAATAATGGCATTGCTTTGGCGGAAGAAGTTTTACATTGAAATTTGCGCTGCATCCAGTTTCCTGAATGACCGCGTGGCTGCCGCTGGGAGGTCATCAGAGCTGGGGGGAGCTCTGAACTGGGGAGCCCTGAAAGCCCACACAGCCGGGCCCCGCAGGCTGCGGATGCCTGTGCCCTGCCCCAGGCCGTGCTGAGTGCCTCCGGGCCTCCATCCGCCCTGGGCCTGCCCTCGAGGGGATGGTGCACCCCAGGGGACAGGACGGAAGAGCCACAGCAGTCTCAGGTCTCCCGCGTGAACTGGGGAGCCCTGAAAGCCCACACAGCCGGGCCCCGCAGGCTGCGGATGCCTGTGCCCTGCCCCAGGCCGTGCTGCGTGCCTCCGGGCCTCCATCCGCCCTGGGCCTGCCCTCGAGGGGATGGTGCACCCCAGGGGACAGGACGGAAGAGCCACAGCAGTCTCAGGTCTCCGGCGTGGCTGGGGTCACACCATCAGCTGGGACTGCGTTTTCCTGCACAGGCCCCGGCGCCCCATCCTCAGGTCCTGCTTCCATAGGTGTCAGGTGGACCAGCCTCTACCCCAGTGATGGCGAACCTTTTGAGCTCGGCGTGTCAGCATTTTGAAAAACCCTAACTTAACTCTGGTGCTATGTCACATATAGAAATTTTTTGATATTTGTAACCATAGTAAAACAAAGACTTATATTTTTGATATTTATTTTATATATTTAAATGCCATTTAACAAAGAAAAATCAACCAAAAAAATGAGTTCACGTGTCACCTCTGACACGCGTGTCATAGGTTCGCCATCACTGTTCTAGGGCCTAGACTAGGCTCATGGGCCATTAATAGGAGAGCTGGGATTCACATCTGTGTCTTTCTGGCCCTGATGACACTGTTTGAACCTGCCTATCGGCTGCCTCCTCCATGCCCCCCACTGGGGATTGAGCCCGCAACCCGGGCATGTGTCCTGATCAGGAATCAAATCGAGACCCCCTGGTTCATAGGTCGACGCTCAACCACTGAGCCACGCCAGCCGGGCCATGCTTTTCACAGGAAGCGCAGTTTTTGTTTTGTGTCTCCCTGCTGAAGGTGAACCCCCGGAAGGCAGGGGCCAGGCCTTCCTCCCACTGTTCACCTCTTCTGTTCTGTCCTCTCACTCGATGTGAGGAGGTTCAAGTGGCCGCGCCCTCTCTGCTTTCGCGTGGAATTCTCAGCAAGGGTGTCTCCTCTTGTACGTCAGCCAGGCCTGTGATGTCACATGGCCGTGTTCCATCGGGCCTGCCCCTGTTTCGCAGACTCGGCTGTCTTGAACTTCTTAATCATTTTGGAATAAGAACCCCCGTATTCATTTTGTACTGAGCCCCACAAATTATGTAACCAGTTCTGAAGACAGACTTTTCATCTTACTGTCATTCTTCACTTTTGTCCTAAAAAAGCAGAGAGCAAGACTGGATGCTGGGGGCTGGGGGGCGGTCCTCCCCTGGGGTCAGAGGGCAGCCAGGAGGGTCGGCAGCTGGGCAGTGACGGGAACTGCATGTTTAAAAGGTCATCTGATTGCCCAGGAGGATGAAATGGAGGGTGTCGACTTCTCGACCTTGGTTTGCCCCTCTGGAGCCAGGGATCTGAGTTCAAATCCCAGTTCTGGCATGTATTAGCTGTGCAGCCCCAGGCACATGGCTTAACCTCTCTGTGCTCATCTCTCCTGTGTGAGAAATGGAGACGGAAACCGCTGTCGCCAGACCCTTGGGAGCTTAAGGAGGAGGCACATGTGGGAGGTTTCCCATTCTTGTCACCTAAGACTATTTCTGCGAGTCATAAGGGACGAACAGAAATGACGAGAACCGGGCCCCTGCCCCTCCCTGCCCTGCTCAGTGGGGCAGCATGGGGAACCCTCTCAGGAGATATAAGGGGCCTGGTGCTGGCTCGGGCAGGTGCTGTTCCAACCTTCCACGTTGTGAGGAAGCGGAAAAGCTGTATTTTTCGCTCATTGTCATGGAGCTCTTTCTTCAGGATTCAGCTGAAAAGCAGGGAAGTAGGAGTGGGTGCGGTTTTCCCCACCAGCCTCTTAGAACTGGTGGGTGGAGATGGCTTGAGGTCTGCGCGCCAGGCTCCTGACTTAGCTGCCTGCTCACCTTCGTCCACGTGCTGGTTGTTTCCAGAACATTCATTCAGCACCGACTCTGCCACGTGCAGGGGGACGTGCTGGCAGGGGAGAGATGTGAGAGACGCGGGATGGAGAGCGGCTGGGAAGAGCCATCCAGCTGCGGTCAGGAAGGCTTCCCGGGGCGGTTCCTAAGCAGGGCCTCGCTCGTGGGCTCCTCGCCACCCCTTCCAGCTGCGTGGTCTCACTTCTGTCCTGCGCGGCCACTCGCTGGGTGCTCCACCTGCGCGGTCCTGGCGACGGGCACCCACCTGGGCTCTGTCCGGGAGGACCAAGGCTCAGAAGAGTGAGAAGACCGCCCACCTCTGCTTTTTGTGTGAGGGAGGGTCTAACCCCAAGTCTTGCGTGAATATTGACGCATGTAAGTGTTTATGCCGGCGGCACAGCTAAAATTACTCTGTCGGACTTTTCCACTAAAATGTGCACAGTTTTAGGAACGCTCTTGTTCATTATTGTCATGGTATTTAAATCCTGATTTCTTCCAAAGGTGAAGACTTGAAATTAAATGCATGTGCTATTTAACATCTGTCAGTACATCCATCCCTCCCCCATCCAGCCATCCACCATCCACCCACTTGTCAATCCGTCTATTCATACCTATCCATCCATTCATCTGTCCATGTACCCACCCACCTATTTGTCCGTCTGTCTATCCATCATCCATCCATCCATCCATTCATTTACCTTCCCATCTATCTTTCCAGCTGTCTGTACATTCCTTTACCCATTTGCCCATTAATTCACTCATTTATCCATCTGTCCACCCACTTATTCACCTGCTCATCCATCTACCCATCTATCTGTACATTCATCTGTATACTCATCTATCCACGTATTTGTCCATCCATCTATCCACTCACCTGCCCATCCACCATCCATCCATCCATCCACTCACCTACCCATCCATCTATCCATCCACCATCCATCCATCCATCCATCCACTCACCTGTCCATCCATCTGTCCATCCACCATCCATCCATCCACTCACGTGCCTCATCTATCTGCCCACCTGTCCATCCGTCTGTCCATCTATCCCCCACCCATCCATCTATAGATCCACTCATCCATCCATCCACCCATCTATCCAGCATGTCTGGGTCCCCACCCCAGTGTATCACTCACCCTCTCAGCCCTCGCACACTGACCTACACTGCAGGTCAGGTGTGTCTCACACAGACAGTGAAGGCCTCAGCTCCCCAAACTTGCAGAAATCTTCAGAATGGAATGAGAGGTTGAGGCAACCCCAGAAAGTCCAGATATGTTCAATAATAATGATAATGATCATTCACTGGGCTCATGCTATGTGTTAGGTGTTTTATATTTAATATCTCACCAAATCCACATTACAACCCTATAAGGTAGGGCAATTGTAACTCCATTTTATGAAAAGGGAAGATGAGGCTGAGAGCGACCCACCCCAGGTCCCCAGGTCTCACAACTAGCTGTTGGCAAGAGCCAGGAGAGTGGCCCTGGCCTGTGGGCCTCCTGCCCCCGCCCCCTTGTTG